CAACGGTCAGGAGCTGCGGGAGCCGGCCCCCGGCGCCCCCGACGGCAGCCCCCGGCCCGGCCCGCCACCGGCCCCGTCCCCCGAGGCGGTGCCGCCACACCCGCCGCCCCCGCCGACGCCCCCTTCCCACTCGGACAAGGGCGTCCAGACCCCCAGCAAGGGGACGCCGGCGCCCGCGCTCCCCGGCAGCCACAGGTACTGCCGCCTGTGCAACATCAGGTTCAGCAGCCTGTCCACTTTCATCGCCCACAAGAAGTATTACTGCTCCTCGCACGCGGCCGAGCACGTCAAGTGAGCGGCCGCCACACTACAGAGACCGCTTGGCGCCCCGCCGCAGTCCAGGCGCAGGCCAGGCCCGGGGGCTGCAGGGGACCGCGCCTGCCTGGACTATTGGCACTTAATAAAGAAGTTCAGTTTGATGAGCACGGTAGTGGAGCGGCCTAGTTGTCTGAGCACAGGGTCCTTGGGGGTGGGAGGAAACACGTGGGGCCAACACTGTGGGGGTGGTCAGCGCCACCCTGAGCGCAGGCATTCGCCCCTGCAACCCAACCCACCCGGACCGGGCCCCCAGCCAGAGTCACGGGGTTCGTGGGCCTCCAAGCTGGACCTGACCCCAGGCCAGTCTATGCAGCAGCACCCCCTGGTAATCGCTGCCCCCCAGGATGCCAACGGGAAGATGCCCTGTGATCGCCAAGGCTGGTGGGGAGAGAAGGGACAGTGATGCAGCCCACAGGCATGGGGGGGGGCACCAAGGCCCACACCCACCCCTGTGACCCAGGGGGGGTGGGGCCAAATCCTGAAGTGGGGGTCGCATGGCACCTGTGGTCGCTACAGCACTCATTACCGAGGTGCCCCCACCCCAGTGTGCCGTGCCGGCACCGTGAGAACCACACAACTAAGATGGGACCGCGAGATGCTTGGCCAAACCCAAGCAGAGCCCAACCACGTCTTGCCGGTTTGCGGCTGGGTGGCTGCGGGCACCCTGCAGCCCGGTGTCCCTGCTGGAAAACCCCCATCAGTCCTTTCCCAACTTTGCTCGAAGCAGCACTGTTTCTTCCAAATACGGTTTTACCCAGCAGCCTGTGGTGGACAGAAGCAAACTGACCTTTGACCTTCCGGGCTCCAAGGTGCTTCCTGCCATCCACCCAGGCTCACTCTCCCTGCTCGAGGCAAGTTTCTCTCCCAACCAGCCCTTGTGAGGTCCAGGAGCCCGTGTCCGGGCAGCGGCGTGCACAGGCCCCTCCCGCCGGCCCAGAGGACCAGGGCTGGACAGGACAGGGCCGCTCAGCCCAGGGCCCTGCAGAGCTCCCGCCCCCGTCCCCCGACCCAGGGCTGGCACTAGGGAAGTCAGTTGAGGGAGGGTCCCAGGGGAGCCAAGCTGCCTCCCTCGAGGATGCCCCGGCACCTGCCATCCTGGGTTGGGGCGGAGGAAGCCAGAGACCCCCCCAGCCCCGCTCCTCATTTGCACTGTTGTGCACGAAGTTGCACGGAGGGCCGCCGAGGCTTTGTCTCCGAGTCAGACCACCGAGCGAAAGCAGACATCACCCACGTCCGCGCCTACTGTTGTCAAAAAATTAAACCTAATGCAGAACGAATTTTACTGTGTACAAATTGTAAAATAAAATTTGTAGAGGGGTGCTGGGGAACATCAGGGATGTGGCCTCTGACGAACCACAGATGCTAAAAGGGGAGGAAGGCAGCACGGACCGGACGAGATGGGGAGGCAGGCGTGCAGAAGTCTGAATGGGGCGCCACGCAGAAAGGGCCTCAGTGTCTATTCCTGTAGACGGGTTGAGGGGGGAAGGTGCACTCCACCATCCCGAGGCCGGGCTTCGAGCCTCTAGGCAGCACCACACGCACCTCATTCGGGTCCTGCACACGGGTCCTGGGGTCACATCACCCCCACTGCGCCCCCAGCACAGGGCCAGTGTGGTTCGGTGTCCCCAGTCCCAGACTCTTCCCCACACTCCCCCTCAGACCTTGGGTTTCCCACCCCCTACAAACACCACCGGTGGCCATGCCTCCCCTTTGAGCCTCCTCCAGCTCCCCTCCCCCCACACTGTCCCGGCTGCAGCCCAGGGATGGCCCAGACCTTCAGGCCCCTCTCCAGGAAACCTGGCGCTCCCTGCTCCCCAACCACACCCCCTAAACCTGCTGCTTCTCCAACTGGCGGGGGGGGGGGGGGTGGTTCAAGGCTCTCAGAGACCACCCAGCCCTCTCCGGGAAGCTCTCCCTGCACACGCCCTCCCTGGGCGGGCACACGGACTCGGTGCCCCTAAATCTCTCTAGCCCAGTCTCTTCCGAGCGCCAGACCTACCCGTCCCTCGAGGCCCCCACCCCCATCTTCTCCTACTTCTGCCCAGATGCAGCAGCCGTTGCCATCAACCTTGGCTCCTCAAGCCAGTGACGCGCCCCTGCATCTGGCTCCATGTCTGCAACTTTGCCTCCCTCCTCCCTCACCCACCACCTCCAACGTATCGGGGAGTCTGACAGGCTCTCCCTCTGGGGATGGCTGCTCCTCTCACGGCCCCAGCCACACCCTGCCCAATGGACTGGCCCCGGCCCTGGCTGCCACGGCTCTTCCCGCTGCTGTGCTGGGGTGGCTGAGAGACCACATGGCCTCACACCCTGCTTCGGGCCCCCAGGAGCTCCTGCTGCACAGGTGGCCTCCAGGCCCTGGTCCCCCACCACGCCCCACAACGCTACTGTGGCTGCTACCTCGCCTCCAGGGTCTGGTCCCTGGGAAGGGCTGCCCTTCACGTCACACGCCTCTCAGTTTGGGGACCTGCCCTGACCCTCCGTCCTGACACCCTTTCATCTCCCCCATAGCAGTGGTCACTCTGGGGACCCTGCCCCTTGACCCTTCCCCATGGGCGTGGCCTGCCTTGGCCACGGCCTCCTGGGCACCTGCTATCTAGCCGGAGCTGGCAGGGGCACACAGGTCGCTAATGTCACAAGGGAATGAAAGGCCAGCAATCAAGTGAGCGAGCCCCAAAGCCCCGTCTGTCCACACCCAGGACGCCACCCAGATCCTGACGCCATATTCTTCCGCTGGTCTCCCGCCTTCACTGCCCTCCGCATCTCACCAGCTGCGTCTCCCCAGAGCCAGCTGTGACCAGGTGGTGCCCCACCACGGCTCCTCGGCACGTGCGGCCCACGGCCCACACTCAAGGTCACCACCAGACCCCATTCTCCTCCTAACCAGCCATCCACCCGGGCCGTCGCTATCCACCATCCTGCATGGCGCACGGACCATCCCCAGCTGCCCGCACACCCAGTGTGGGGGAGGGGACAGCCCAACTCTAGGAATTGCTGGCAGACATTCCTGACGCTAGGGGTCAGCAGCGACTGGTTTCCAGGGGCCCGCAGGTCGGGTGACAGGAGGCTGTATCATGTGTTCCGGGCTGGCCCGGTGGGCCTACCCTTGGTCTCCCCAGGAGGGGCAGGGAGGGGCAGAGAGGGGCTCCCGGGGAGGCAGGTCGGGGCGAGGCAGTGCTGTCCCAGCTGGGATGGAACACGGGAGAAAGGCAGAAGCTGCCAGCGCGGGAGGGGCTCAGGTGAGGGGAGCACCGGAGAAGGCGGGCCAGGCAGCAACAAATGCTTCCAGAGCAAGCGGGCGGGGGGGGGCCCCCCCCCGGCATCCCTGGCCTCTGATGGGCAGGGGGAGGCTGGGAGACTTTCTGTGACACGAGCAACCACTGTGCACAGTGCACACACACCCTCGGCCGGCCAGCCTCCCATCTGTCACCAGGGGCGCCTCTGAACCCAGGGCCCCAGTGCTGCTGGCAGGCCTGCCCCTCACTGGAGACAGCGGCCCGGGGTTTCCCTGTGTCCCTCCCTGTCCGGCCAGAGCCAGCCTCTCCCTCGTCTGACAGCCACCCCACCACTCCTGGGGGCCGGAGAGCATGCCTGAGCCTGGAGAATACACACTGCAGGGGCCTCCCCGCCAGGCTAAAGGGGGCCCGGGCCTGGGAGTCTGTGTTTCATCAGCTCCCGGCAGATTCTTCTCTGCAAGTCTGAGAAATGCCCACATGGCAAGTGATCAGACCTGGTTAGCACCTTTCTTATCAGCCTGGTGGGGGTGGGGGTGGGGGCCTTTGTCACCAGGCAGGGAGGTGGCGGGGAGGGGACGGACCCAGGTCTCAGCCCCTTGGAAACTGGGCGGGGTATGAAGACCACCCCGACCCCACGGAACCCACGCCCGATCGCCCACACGTCCCAGCACACCCCCATCCCCCCAACCGCGACTATTCTGCCACTTGTCCATTCTGCGGCTGAGCCTCCGGAAGCCCGGACAACACGGTGAACAGCATGGGGGGAGCGGAGGGACGGTGGCTCCACCCACAAACCCGGAAGGAAGGGACACCCGAGGCGGAGCGCTGCGCCCCTCCCCTCCCAAAGTACAATCTCCGCGGAAAAGAGCCTCCCAAGCCTCCAAGCATCGCTCTGGGAGCTGTGCCAGGTGCCGGACAGTGCTTCCTGCCCACTAGTGCCCCAGGGGTGAGTCCCCTGCCCCCCGCGGGCGTGAGACCCTGACCCAGCTGCCTGCTGTCAGGGGAGCTAAGACATTTGCGAGCCCTCACTGTGTCAACGGCTGGGATCTGCCAGTGGCCACGCCGCCCGCCCGCGGGCTCCCGAATCAAGGCGCTCATACTGGGGGTGGGGGTGGGGGTTGGGGACAGGGAGCCTCCCCTTCCTGATGCTGGGTTTGCACGCGGCTCCAGCTCCGGGACTCAGAGGCAGCCAGGGGCTCGCTGTCTCTTGGAGTGGCTCCCGCAAACACAAGTGTGGCCACCACCCACGTCCTGTCACCGCCCACCTTGGGGCTGTCACACTCGTCCCCCGGCCGTATGGGGCATCGTGACACGGACCCAACGGCCTGAGCACCTGGTGCCGGCACCACCCAGCCTGCCCCAGGGGGGCCACCAAGCTCCTCGGTGCAGACCAGCCACAGAAGCGGCCTGGGCGCCTCCTCCGCGTGTCAGTGCGCCACAGCCCCAGTGGCCCTGCTGCCACCGTGCCACGGGAGGCCGAACCGTACGGTGTGGAGAGTCCGCCACCAGGACGCCCACTGCACACCTTCACGAGGTCAGAAGTCAGATCAGTGGCGGTTAACAGAGAGCTAGAAACCCAAACTCGAAACTTTATGCATCCCGAGACCCAAAATACTTTAAAAGCTTTGTGCAGCAGGAGGGACAAGAAGGGGCGTGTGCAACAGTCACTCACCCCACAGAAGTGCAACGATGCACCATATTTCCCAGGACTCCAAATACATAACCTTGTACAACCACAGAATCTGAGGACCAAATTTCTCAGAGACACAGGTGACCCTGACGGCCCCTGCCAGGGGCTGCCCGCCCCCCCCCCCCCCCCCCGGACCCACATCGCTAAGGCGACCAGATTCAAAGCAGAAGCTACACGGTCACGGGAGAGCCAAGCCCCCTCGAGGCACAGGGAAAACCCCTTCCCCTGCTTACGTGGACGTGTGTGGCCAATGCCAGACCCACCCCGCCTCAGCGTCGGCCGCACGGGCTCAAAGCCAACGGAAGACACAGGATGAAGCCTGGCCCCTCCCCAGGTCGGTGCGGTCCCACAGGTCTGTCACTGCTTTGACCGTAGCAACTCAGACGACCCTGACCCCATTCCCCGGTACGGAGGGGCCCCGCCAACCCCAACTCCAAGAAATTCTCAGCAGCCCTCGGTCCAATGCTTGGAATCCCATCATTAGCCGCTCTCTGGTCAGAGCCGCGGCAAGAAAGGCAGTGGGCGTCCCCAGCCTGTCCACAGTCCGACAGAAGCGAGACCCACACCGGCGAGGCCCAGGCCCGGGCAGAGCGCAGAACACGCTCCTAAGGCAGGATGTGCTCCTTTGAGCGGACTCCTCACCCCAGCAGCAAGCCCCCAAGGCGCCCTCCTTGGGCCGCTGTCCCCACAACGGGCACAGCTCCAGCTGCCCGCTCTCAGCCGACAGAACACGGGAGTCTGCGGCCACGGCCCACTGCCCGCTCTCCGCCCTCGGCCAACACATACCACATGGTTTCTGAGCCCACTGGCGGGGACAGAACACACCTTGCCTGTGACCGCGGTGGGCACAGCCGCCGGGGTTACCTCAGGGAGGGAGCACCGTAGCAGGAGCTCCTTGGAGCTGGGGCTGGGGCTGTGTATCCCTCCGTGTGTTTTCTGGGCATCCTGAGTTTCCCCCTCACACTCCCCCAGGGGCCCCTGCAGCGACACGGCCTTGCAGGCAGGCTTCTAACACTTAACAAGGAGAAAGCGAAAGGTCCCTGAGGCCCCACAGCCTCCCCGTGGGCACGACGTGGGTGCCACTTACCACGTGGAGATGCAAGCCAGAGCCAGACCACCCACTTCGCTAGGTGGGGCCTGAAACGGAGGCGGCTGTAAGCTCCAGGGAAAACGGGGCTGGCTCTGCGAGCGAGCGCACAGAGATCTCAGCAAGGCCGCCAGTGGGGAGACGCGAGGTGTGGGTTCAAGCACGAGCCGCGAGTATGTGGAGAGCGCGTGAGGGGCAGAGCGCCCACCCCAAGCTGTCGGCATCCTAACCCGCCCGAGGACGCTGCCTACTCAGAAAGGGGGA